AGATGTCAAAATGGTGTGGGGGGGGGGGAGTGTGGGGGTCACAGACTGCGTTTTGGCTTTTATTATTACTGGAAGGAAGTGGAGTTCTTTTATCTGGTAATTAGTGACTGCTAAAACTTCCTGTATTCAGACCATATCCTCCTTTCCAGATTCCGTCAAGTAGTTCCTTAAATTGCATGTAAAATCTCATACAAGCGTTTGAAAGTCCTTTTTTCAATCTAAATATTTTCTTACAAATAAATCCTGGTTATCCTGCCATTAAGGATTATAGGGTGACAACCCTGTCCTCATTTTCCGACTTGTGCTTCTTTGTCACATGTCCTCTCAATGAAGACTACAAGTACACCTCCCCCATCAGGAAAACCACCCCGCAAATCAGCAGCAAAATAGAGAAGCGGTATTTTATTAAACGGCTGTTGTTTTGATACAGCTTTGACATCTACGGCCACTCGGCGATCCCGGTTAATGTTCTCGCTCTCCGGATTTTTTGTTGCTGGTCCCACTGTTTTCTGGCCCGGGATGAGGTCCCCACCGAGCTGCTCAGTAAGCGGGATCAGGCCTGTCATGTGCGCTCTCTCCCCTCCAACTTTACAGGCCTCATCACCATGGCAACAGAGCAGGCCACAGAGGAAGGAGAAGGAATCTTTTATACTTTTGAAGACTCTGGGCCCCTGTCCCGTGTCACCATTGTTCTCCTCATTCCGCCTGTGTGCACCCGATCACCTGTCACCACCGCAGCCTGGAGCCTGGCCAAGGAACCACATATGTCTTTCATCTTCCCCTCAGCACTTCCGGAATGTCAGTTATGTATTGTAAGTTGTCTGTTTTCAGTGAGCTTTGTTTGTTTACTTTTTTTTTCCCTTCTCATACTATGCATCTGAAGGGCGGAGAAGTGTCCCTTGTTTGGCTCAAACGTACATCAAACTATCTGCTTGCTTGTTGTTTTACAGTTTGCAAAGAGGGAATGATTAAGGTCTATCTGGTAGAATTTGTTCAGAATAATGGCATAGTAAATGACAATCAGCATGGGTTCAGGAAAGACCGTTCCTCCCAGACTAACTTGCTAACTTTTTTTTATGAGGGGGTAAGTAGAGATCTGGATGGAGGGAGGCCGGTGGATGTGGTATATCTGGATACGGTACCACATAAACGCTTACTACACAAGCTGAGATCCATGGGCATAGATGGAATGGTGTGTACGTGGAACTGGCTACGGGACCGGGTCCAGAGGGTATCTGTAAATGGCACCTTTTCAGACTGGGCTAGTGTCATGAGCGGTGTGCCTCAGGGTTCTCTGCTGGGACCCATACTGTTCACCCTTTTTATTAATGACATCGGGGAGGGTGTGAATAGCAATGTTTCAGTGTTGGCTGATGATACCAAAATTAGGAGGGTAATCGAAACGGACCTAGACAGTATAACATTAAAGGAGGACCTGGATAAAATGGGGGAGAGGGCGAATATATGGCAGATGAGGTTTAATGTCGATAAATGCAAAGTAATGCACTTTGGGATTAAAAATAAGCAAATGGGCTATACAATCATGAGTATGCCACTAGGGAAGTCGGAAATAGAAAAAGATTTGGGGGTCATTGTAGACCACAGATTGAAGAATAGCTTGCAGTGCCAGGCTGCCGTAAGCAAAGCAAGTAGAGTCCTGTCCTGTATTAAGAAGGGGATGTATTGCAGAGACAAGTCTATAATTGTGCCAATTTATAGATCACTGGTTCGGCCTTATCTGGAGTATGCGGTCCAGTTTTGGTCACCAGTCCACAGAAAGGATGTCCTTGATCTTGAAAGAGTCCAGCGGAGGGCAACCAAACTAATTAGGGGAATGGAGGACCATAGCTATGAGGCAAGGTACCTAAATTTAAACATGTTCACGTTGGAAGTAAGGAGATTAAGGGGGGATATGATTTTCATGTAGAAGATGATCAATGGTAAAGGCAACATTAGCCACAAACTCTTTACGATTAACTCCGTAACAAAGACTAGAGGCCACCACCTAAAATTGGTGGAAAAAAAAATTCCAGCATAAGGGGCGAAGGGGGTTCTTCACAGTTAGAGTGGTTAGGGTCTGGAACTGGCTGCCACAGGAAGTGATTTCAGCTAAGAGTGTGGAATCGTTCAAGAAGCTTTTGGACGATTGATTTCCTGAGAGCCTGTAATATACAGGGGTACAGGTACTCTTAAGAACGAGATGATACATGGACCTATACATACGCACACATCAGCAATAGGTTGGACTTGATGGACTTAGTATTTGAGGTTGAATAAAGACCTATGTAACATCGTTGTTTACATCATTGTTTACTTCCGAGTTGTTTGCATCCTTGTTTACATTGTTGTAGTTGTTTACTTCGTCATTGTTAACTATGACGTAAACATCAATGTAGTTTCCTTCGTAGCTCTTTACATTGATGTTGTTTTTGTTGTCATTTACATTTTTGGAGTAAGTGAGAGGTCTTTAAGCACTGTATCAACAATTGCCTTGGCTTCCTTTTTCAGTGGAACGTGCCTGTGCAACATGTCAGCATGGCTGTAAGCAGTCTCCCGATGGGGTGCATGTGACATGGTGACAACACAGGAGCTAAATTTGGGAGACAGTTGTCACCCCATACCACTTCCTAACCATCATGGCATTTGGTTGGGACAAATTCCCTATTTTGGTCCAGGCCTGGGTGCTGGTGACACGGTGTTGGGTGCCGTGCACTGGTGACACGGTGTTTGGTGCAGGGCCGGGCGCTGGTGACACGGTGTTTGGTGCAGGGCCGGGCGCTGGTGACACGGTGTTGGGTGCAGGGCCGGGGCACTGGTGGAACTTTTTTTTGTTTTTTTGTTTTTTAGTATGTTTTTTAATAGTTTTCCAAAATGGGCAAATCAAGGATCACAGGAGTGAACAAATATTTTTAGATATATGGCATTGTGGCTTTTGATGGATTAGGGACTGACTTTCCCATTGGAACCTGGCAGCTTTGAGCAGTTACAGGCTGCATGTAGCTTTTCAGATATCTAGGAACTAAAAGTCCCAGCGTGCACTGCCAGGAAGCATGGCAGCTGCTGTCTTCTTTTCCCAGTCTGGAGATGTACACCAGTACCACATGCTGCAATTAAGGTCACATGCTGCCCCTTTCAGGACCTCTGCTTCCGCCCCACATCCCCTGCTCTCTCTGGCTCGAGTAGCTCTTGGCAGTCGGCCATCAGGGAACTGGTGTGTAAAGAGGGTTTTGTCTATAGGCCCGGGGCTGTGTGCACCCTGCTGGGCCATGTCACGTGATTTGTAAAGCAAAACAGTGCTGCCTGTATGCTGCTACAGTTACTTAGGCAGGGCTGCTGGAAAGAATATGCCGTCCTGTCCCCAACAGGCTCTAACAAAATGGCGGAGTGAAGAGTAAAACACAACAAGCAGACTGGAATGCATGTGCTGGAAAAAAAAAATGCCTTTTCTTAAAATGTTTTATAAATGTGTGCAGCAAATTATCCGCATCTGCCGTTTTCAGCTAGGCCGGGAGATCAGCATGTGATCAAAGGAAAGCTGTATGTGTTCGACCATTTTAAAGGGGACCTGTCAGGACAGAGGTAAAGGGAGTCCATTGTTCAAGAGAGCAAGCTCCAAGTCCTGTCATCCTTATCCTTCGTCCTCTACTTTGTGAGTCGCTAACTCTTCAGGATTAGAGGCCAATATGTGCACTTTGAACAACTAGTCAGCAGTGGCATCAGCCATCTTGCTGACCTCATATCATCCTATTGCAATACAGGTCCTTGTTTCCACCTTACTGGCTGACGTTTTGGTTTTCTCCTTAACTTTGACCTCTTACAGATATGGGGCCCCCGGAGTGGAGTTTACAGGTTTGCACAAGGACATGGCCACTGTGACCCAGCTGCACTTCTTACCAGGACAGGTAGGTCAAGTGATTGGTGCTCTTGCCCTGCAGCGCCAGGGACAGTGTGTCCCCTTGAGATCTCCCTTAACGTCCTGTCCCACAAGCACAACAGGAAGTGAGAGGAGATCACACCAAGGTGAAAATTCCCCTCCTAGACCATTGTCACTGAAGCGGATGTTCCCATTGGCAGATACTCTGCTGTAAAGTCTTGGATTTTCCCTCACTTTCCATTGCGGTGTCTGACCACCAGGAGAGAGTTGAATCTACCCAGTGGGGATACCTTGATTTAAAGTCCGACCGTTCCTTGCTGATCTGTTAATTATACCATTAAGAGCATTGGTGTAACTGTTAAAAATAAAAACCAAAACACCCCTCTTGATCCTGCCAGAAATCCATTGCTGTCCCGTGAACTCGGCAATGTTTGCTAGTTAGAACTACAGTTCTCCTCCCACTCATGGTATGGAGAAGGGGAGGAGTTCTTTAGTTCTAACATGCTTCCAGTCCTATGGTGTCAACTATGCTCCTCCATGCACACTGTGCAGTGAGTTAGTGTTGTCACTCTAGGACAGGAAGTGTGCTGCTGGCAGGATCACCAGGTAGAAATAAAAGGGAGGAAGCCTACAAAGTGAAAATGAATGCTGCTGCCACCACATCTCGGGATCGCCTTTAGGTGCACGTGAAGCCAGAATATGTACAAACCGGTTAGTTGACTTCTACCCAAAATTAGTCCTCCTTTGCATGACACGTGGAGGGGAAGCTCCTTTTTAAAGCTGAACTCCGGGGAAATGTAAAATTGCAGTGAACTCCCATCTCACTGCAAGGGTTCAATGCTTGATTTTGTCCAGAGGGAACAATAAATGGGCAGCTTTACTTACCTTATTCCTCGCCCAGCCGGCAGCCGGTGCTCTCCTCTTTCCACCACTGCCTTGGAATGTGTGCGGTCCCTCCGCGTTTTCACTTACAATGCAGGACTGCTGCTCCTGCACAGTAAGGGATGATGTCTGAGTATGCGGGCCGCAGGGAGTCCTGAAGAGAAGCTACTTTGGGAACCGGTAGCATGCAGTGGAGGTGCCTGGGGGATAAGGTATAAAACTTCTTCTTTTTTTAATGTTTCCCCCTGGACAAAAATGAGCATTTAACCCTTGCAGTGTGTGTGTGGGGGGGGGGTTCAGCTTGCTTAACTTCAGATAGGCGCGGTTGTCACCTGGACAGGGAGCGCAGTTGTCAATAAAAAACGTTGTCCTAAGCTCTTTGGAAGCCAATTTGTTGTACAGTAACTTCTCGTTTTGCCTTCCAGGGTCGTCTCCTGTCCCTGCTGGATGATAACACTCTCCACCTATGGGAGCTGCAGCAGAAAGATGGCTGCTCCCAACTCGAGGAAACCAGGAGCTTCATCCTACCAGGCCGGCAAGGGTTCGACTGCGCTAAGTACTCAAACTCCCCTTCTTTCTCTCTCACGCTTGTGGCTGAGCTGATTTTTTTTTTTTAAATGGCATGCAAGCAGCCGGGGTGCCTCCTAAACAATGAAGCTGTGTGGTCTAAGTGCAGACATAGGGGATGATTTATAAACTATATGCCGGGTTGATGCTATATGCACTGCACTACCGCCACTAGATGGAGCTGAGGAGCATAGGAAATTCTGACGCTCCCGGGACCATCTGGTGGCGATAGTGCATTGCAGATGTGCTACAGAGGAGTCTAGAAAGCAAGTGGGAAGGAGGGGTCAGGATGGGTTGGCTTTAACATCAAAGTGTTTGTAATGGGCGCGGTTTAGTCCCTCTACCAAATTTCTTTTTGCCGTCTGTGACATTCACCGCTTTTTGTCCTGGTGACGATTGTCACCAACACTGAAAGTGATGGGAAATCCAAATGTTTGGAGTTGTCACCAGAGCATGAGGTGAGGGGAAATGTTTCAGTGTGGACCAATAATCCGATGACCACTGAGCTAAGTTGCCATCATTTAGCAGGATGTGAGAGGACTTCTCCCCTATGTCTCCTAGACAGGAAGTGAAGAATTCTCTCCAATGGGGCACAGAGAGCAAAAGGTAACCTCCATAAGGATTTAACTCTTTCCAATTCTAAAACCAAGACCTCTTTCATGTCCAATCTTTCATTCAGCAGTAGAAGACTTGGATCATATTAAATCTAGTGGCATCCTATAGTCCTTCAGTATTATAGAGCACAGTGGCTCTTGAGTACATAGAGCAGTATATGGACACCATAACCAGAATTTATGGTCGTTCTGCCAAATATAAATTGATTGGCCGCTGTGAGCGCCTGCCCTTCCGGTATCGTCCTGATGGTGCAGATGGCACGGCTTGAGGGCGGGCAGTATACAAGCGTGAGGAGGAAGAGGGTCACTCTGGTGGAAGGTGGGACCTTTCCAAACTTAAATGCCACGGATGATTGGGAAGCACGATATATCATTTTCTTTGTATTAATGCTAATTCTCTAATTGGTGTTTTGGTATCATTTACTTTTCCTCCAGTTTACTGACACAGATTTACCTTCCATCCATAGAGCATGTATTCTTCAGTGTCATTTCATGGCATTAAAGGGACTATGCATCCTAAAATGCAAGGTTGCTGAAAGTGGGTGCGTGACACAAATTCCTGATGCCAGCTACGCTGACACCCAGAAGCTTGGCATAAAAGAGTTTAATGACAGTAACGGCTTAAAGTAAAAACTTACCCCTGTAGTGGGGCTACCCCGGCATTGCAAGGGTTAAGTGTTTGTCTTGTCTAGCGGGTGCTCAAATAGAGCAGATATACTCACCTGATCCTCAGTCCTGCCTGACTGCTTCACCGGTCCCCAAATCCTCTTCTTCCCGGCGGTCTAAGGCGTCATGTCTAATGCAGAGCCATTGATTTTCATTAGACACTGAGGTACCTTCCATAGCTCTGACTGCCGCGGCACCATGGATCAGTAACCCATAGCAGGCAACTGGATCCCATTTGATTTGAAAGCAGCCAATTTTTGTTTCTAGGACCGACTGCTCTGTGAATGTGTGGCTATTTCATACCCATATAAGTACCATTTCTGAAGTGTGTGTGTGTGTGTGTCTTCTGCGTGAATATGAACATCATGGCAAGTTAAAATTTAGCTTCAATCTGATCAATATATTGAGGGGAATTTACTGGAGCGACAGATTCTAGAGCGCCTGTGCATAGTAACCAATCAGCTTCCATCTTTATCTTGTTCCGTTAAGCTTTAAAAATGAAAAATAGAAGCTGATTGGTTGCCAGCTGCTCCCATCTTAGTAAATTCCCCCCCCTTACATGTGCATGAAAACAAAGGTGTGCAAGGTTTTACAGTTGGTTTTCTTCTAGAGAAGCCTATTCCCTGCCAACATCTGCAGAGAAGGAGCCTTTGCTTTCGTTGGAAGCAGTGGTCTCTCTGTGGAGGTTTGACACTCCCCCTGCTGATTTTAGACCTATAGCTCTCCAATCGGAAAAGCTCATGTGTTCTGCTGGGTAGAGAGCTCTAACTCTGATTGGCTGGGGTGTGTTTGACCTCTGCAGAAGTCTCACACAACCCCGTGCTGATTCAGACCTATAGCTATGCAATGGTCAGAGCTCATGCATCCTGCTGGTTAGATGGCTCTGAATGGCAGGGTGGGGTGTCTGACCTCTGCAGAGAGACCACTGCTTCCCTACAGAGGGCAAGGGTCCTTCTGTGCAGCATGCTGGCAGGTGACAGGCTTTTCTACTCGGGCTGCGGCTGCTTTCTAAAGAAAAGGAACTATAACGCTTTATTCTCTGTTTGGATGCACCTGGAATGTATGCAGCACATTTAAACGGACCGTTCAATTGGGCTTCGCAAATTAGGAGTGATGTAGCATTTAAAATAAACTGCATACATATACCCTGTTTCCCCGAAAATAAGACCTACCCTGAAATTAAGACTTAGTACCATTTTTTGGAATTGCTAAAATATAAGACCTACCCTGAAATTAAGACCTAGTTGTGACCATTGCCAGGGCCGGTGGTGGCATAAGGGGGAACTTGAAGCGCCGAATGAGAGAATCAGCGGTGCCAACGAAGCCAGCACTAGAGGAAGTGAGGTAGCTCAGGAAGCAGAGCCGCATAAGCCAATGTTTCCTCTATAGCGCCGGCTCCTGTCACAGGCGGAGTGATACCAAATGCACTCCGCCTGTGAGGAATCCATAGTGAAAGTGCGCTTTACTCATTCTGGTTACCAAATTGCTCTTGGAAAGGTACGGCACCGCTGATTGCCTTGATCACCCTATTAACTTTGCCATTTTGGATGATTTAATTTGGATTTGCATTAACTTTGGATTGTTCTACATTAGAAAAAAAAATACCTACCCCAAAAATAAGACCTAGTGTGTTTTTGTGAGCCAAAAAAAAAGACGGTCTTATTTTCGGGGAAACACGGTATACATGGTGTGTGGGGTACATATGCCTGTGTATTCCCATATACAAGTGTGGTTGTGCATTATAAAGGGCCCAGATCACAGTAAACCTATTGCCGTGCAGTCACTGTGTGTGCTGGCATCGCACGCCAATGTAAACTCTTGAAGCATTGCCCATGTTTACTAATGGGTATTCAGAGTCAACGTGTGCTTGAAATGTTTATTTGGTTGGCATATTGAAGCACCCTTTATTACAATTCTAACATTGTAAATGCTTGCTGATTTTTATGTTGGCAGGACCTTTTTTTGTTTGTTTTTATGGCTGTTTTATAAAGTCTTTGTTTACGGTTGCCTTGTCTGTACTATCAGAAATCATGCACAAAATCTGCTTTGTCTGGCTCCATGATGTGGTAATGTCACCATTCACCTCCGAATTGGGCAATTCATATGTAATGCCAGCCCATATTGGGCAATGTCTAGTGACATTATGCGGCAATGTTCTGGAACTATCAGTGACCAGTTATATTTCAATAGCTTCATTAGGTCAAATTGGTGAAATGAAATATCTAAATTAGTTTATAATGTATTTTAACCCTCCATCTATTGGGTTCCTGTATCAGGACCATGTACTGTGTGTACCCCACCGCAGGGGTTGATAAAAAAAAAATAAAAAAAAAATTATTTGCACAGGGTTATTCAAGTCCTGTTGGCTGACACCACACGCATTTTGTGGACTGAGTGGCGTCAGCCCTGTCCAGTTTTCATTTTCTAAACTACTTGAATCCGCCCACTATCCCATCAACAACATACAGTAATCATTCTGTAGTCCCAATATAAGAACTGGGAGGTCTAATTGGACTCCTTGAGATAACACAGGAAGTGTATACAGGAGAGCTCTGAATTTTTGACATGGTTTTTTTTCTTGTCCTTTTTCCCCGAGTAGAATGAATTAAAATAAGCTCAGGGGTAATATTTACATTTGTTTAAACCCCAATTTTTTTGCATTGCATACATAACTGTACTCTGACTTCTTATAAAATGCATTGTTCCTGGTAGATGGGCCGTGTTAACTTTTTGAATGTTGATGCTCAATCAGCAGTTGTGTCATAGAGGATAGTCTGCATATCCGAAGCCTGTTTTCAATGACTTGATGTCCAGAAGCATCAGTAGTGATGACGACCAGGCTGCACCGTGCCAATCTCATGCATGTTTTATTGGTTCCTCTACAATGCTGTTGTGTCCAGCTGTTCAGTAGAAGGAGCTGCGTAGCCGATCGTCGTTCTATAATTCATTAACGTAGGCCCCAACCAGACACCATCCCATAATGCTCCTCCATGCTCGAGCCTTGGATGCCACCGACATGTCCTGAGGATGTGACAACCATGTAACAACCTAAACAAAAACTAAACCGATTTCCTAGCAGTCTTTCCGTTCAATAAAACGGGTTCGCCACTCGTCGCAATGCGTTTCCTCTGACGTGTCCATCTCGGCTTTCCTTTTATTAGCAGGTGGCCATAATTGTCCGCTGAACGTTCTGCACATGGATCTGGTTTTGGTTGCTTCAAAGTCCACGGAGCTTAAACTGTGACAGTCGCAGAAGTCTGTTAAAGGAGATCGTGCAGATACAACCCAAGTTCTGTAACGGAAACAGATCCTTCAGGAAATAATTAAACGTTTCCATTTGTTGAAGGAATTGAACTTTGTAGGAATTCCACAGCTCAGAAGTTGGGAGGGAACTCCGACCAAGGCTTTTTCTTGTCCATTTGAGGGACACAGGAATTCAGATACTGTCGGGTTCTACTGCAGCCTGCAGGAAAATTGGCAAAACAAAGTTGTAGGCCAGCCTTAAGCTGCCCATGCACCTGACGATTATCCTACGATAATCGTGTGTGATCCCGCGATCGTACGATAATCGTGTGTGTGATCGTACGATAATCGTGTGTGATCGTACGATAATCGTGTGTGATCGTACGATAATCGTGTGTGATCGTACGATAATCGTGTGTGATCGTACGATAATCGTGTGTGATCGTACGATAATCGTGTGTGATCGTACGATAATCGTGTGTGATCGTACGATAATCGTGTGTGATCGTACGATAATCGTGTGTGATCGTACGATAATCGTGTGTGATCGTACGATAATCGTGTGTGATCGTACGATAATCGTGTGTGATCAAATCGTGTGTGTGTGATCCCGCGATCGCACGAGAATCGTGTGTGTGTGATCCCGCGATCGCACGAGAATCGTGTGTGTGTGATCCCGCGATCGCACGAGAATCGTAAGGTGTATGGGCAGCGTGCGACCGCATTTACTGTACGGTCACACGACTTTCGTATTACGTGCACTCTAGAAAACCCGCCGAAAATGGTACGATTTTCAGCGGGTTGGTGGCGCGATCGCAAGACTAAAGCCGCACGGGCCAAGGTGCGCAAGCGCACACTGCCCTCTCACCATTCCAATCATCTGTAAGCACTCCCCTCACCGGGGAGGATCGCAAGTACGATCTGCCTGTCCAAGATGGGCAGGTTGTACGAAATTTTAATCACCTTACAACCATCGCACAACGAAAGTCGTGCAATGGTTGTAAGGTGTATGGCCAGCTTTAGAATCACTCTTACTCCCTCATAACGCCCTGATCCCAGCATACCTCAGTTTTTGTCCTAGTGTCCTGAGACGGTGGACATCTTCTCTGTCGTCACCTTTTTCTTGCCTTTTTATCTTCAGTTATTCCTTTTTTTCCCCACCTGTAGTCCTCCCATTTATGTTGTAGGGTTTCGCTTCCCTGAGGAATTAGTTATGGTTCGCCTGTTTTGGGGGTTTTTGGTTGACCACTTTTCCTTAGTTCAGGTTTGGTGCCTCCTTTGTGTGGAGTCGATCCTTCTGGTGGTGACCATCTTCACATCTGAGCATCAGGTTGATCTGTGTCCTCCCATGGTCATCTTGGCAGTCCCAATGGGGCTCGGCCTGAACCGGTTCAGATTCTGGTGTTGGTCCCTCAGGCAGTCCAAAGTTCTTAGTTGGGCCCCTTAGCGATTGTTGCCATGTTGTCCACCCCCTCAGTTGGACTGACCGTGTCTAAATTTGTCCCCCAATAAACAATTTTTTTTTTTTACTTTTGGAATCCATTGAGGGACACAGGTCTGACCCCCCTCTGTGGTATGTTCTTGGTCGTGAAGGCATGCAGGGTAGAGGAGGGTTATTCTGGGGCTGGTCTACAAATTAATTTTTTGCCATTGTCCAGTCCTCCTGTGGGCGGCAATATAACCCGACAGTATCTGAATTTCTGTACCCCTCAATCTGGATAAGTGGGAGGTTCAGCTTGTGATCTTATTGCAGATCTTTTTCCTCTGTGTATTGCTTGGGTGTGCATGGATGGGCTTTGCTGGGCTGAAGCGGTGCCGCAATTACAGGGTCGATGTGGTACCCCAATATATAAAAACTAATGGTTTTTTAATAAAATACACAATCTGAGTTGCAGTCCCCCAATCTTCTCCCAATTTTCTTTAAAACAAAATGCTCCTAAAATAAAAAGGAGCTGAAAAAGGAAATTTGCATTTGAGTGGCGA